CAGCTGCTCCTTACCATTTTTATTTATTTATTTATTTATTTATTTATTTATTGAGACAGAGCCTTAAGCTGTCCCCCTGGGTAGAGTACCGTGGCATCACAGCTCACAGCAACCTCCAACGCCTGGGCTCAAGTGAGTCTCCTGCCTCAGCCTCCCAAGTAGCTGGGACTACAGGCGCCCGCCACAACGCCCGGCTATTTTTGGTTGCAGCCGTCATTATTGTTTGGCGGGCCCAGGTTGGATTTGAACCCATCACCTTAGGTGTATGTGGCTGGTGCCTTAGCCACTTGAGCCACAGGTGCCGAGCCTCCTTACTATTTATTGTCAGGGACTTGAGCTGCCCGTCTTCCTCAACTTCCACTCCTTTTTGACCATTCTCCACGATTCTCTTTGTAGTCATCTTTCTGCCATTAACTATTTTTGTAGAAGTCGATATAGACTCGAAGTTGCTCATCCCACGACCGCCAAATGATGTGTCAGAGAATGAAGTGAGACCCCCGTGCTCCAGCGACCCGAATGAAGAAAATCCTGCAGGAAATTCCACAGAAAATCCTGTATTAAAAGAAGAAAATCCACTTCCAAAAGGTGGAAATCCACTGAAGGCAGAGAAAAATGACCCTGTTCCTCTGTTTCTGCTTCTTCGGAAACCCCTCTGATTCCTAATAAAGTCCTCAAATGGGTCTTCAAAGAAGTCAAATCTAAACGGGTCCCTTCCACCAAAAAATTCCCTGAAGACATCCTCTGGGTTATGGAATACGACGCCAAATTTAAATGGATTGTCAAAATCCACCTCCTCCACCATTTAATCCATCTTTTCCATATTTGTCATAAGATGTCCTGCTTTTTAGGTTCTGACAACATCTCTTATGCCTCAGCTACTCATTTGGATTTTCTCTCTGCTTCTTTATTCTCAGGGTTTTTATCTGGGTGCCACTTGAGTGTCAGTTTTTGGTACGCCTTTTTAATATCCTTGGCTGAGGCATGTTTCTGCATGCCTAGAACTTCATAGTAATCCACCGTGTTTTAAAATAATTGTTGGAACAGGTCCAAGGATGTGGACGACAGAGGGCAGGAAGGAGGGATCCGGCATGCCCGGGGCTCCTTGGGCTTGGGCACAGCTGTGCTGGTATGGCCGGAACTAAATTATTTTTAAATGGCTTAAGATCATAGGCTGTGTATGGGAGAGAGAATAATGACAGTGGAAAGAGAAGTGGGCTCCAAATATTTTTGTTCTTTGGACCAATGTTATTAAAAAACAAAAAATTCTTTAGCAACCCCCATATCAATATGTTTATGTCTTAAAAGATATGAAAATACTATGTCTCCATTTCATCTGTATCTCAAAGGCTACTAGTAAAGCTACCCAAAAGCAAGGTGCTAGGTCACCAACTTAGACATAACTTGCAAAGAAGTGCTGTTTAGGAGATTAATACAATGTCTAAGGAGTACTTTTTAAAATTCTTTTATGAGAATGGTGTGCTATGTAAGATTCCTTGCTTCTAGAAAGAAGAGAGGGTGCTTCTCCTAATTTAAGCTGAGAAAGCGAAAGAGAACCACTTAGCTTGATTTCTACCCTTGGGATTGTAGAGTCCGAAGAGTAATGCTATTTCCCAATGTGACAGAGTAGCAAAGACTAGACAACTGCATTTTCTCTGATAATAGGAAAAATTTGCAGGTTCCCCCCTCCTTTGGTGAGATATGATCTACACTACACTGTAGTGATCTATAGCAGTCTTGATTACAGAGGAGTCTTTTCGAAGCAGAATGATAATGGCAACAGAGCTGCTGGAGGACAACCTGATGCTCACGGGTTGAGACAGGAAATCAGAAGAAGCAAGCCCCTGGACCTGTGCTCAGAGGCCTCAGAAGTTTGTCTCCAGGGCCCTGGAAAGATTCTCATAGATGTGTGGATATTTTATATCCAGAGGGCATTGTCTTTGCTCACTCCAGTCCCATGCACCCACCTTCAGGGATTGAGGAGACTCTTGGCACTCATCAGGAAGATCCATCACTCCGAAGACTATCAGCACAGGCTCTGGAGGGACCATTATCAAATAGCACCTCTTTGTGTTCATAAAAGCAGCCCCACATCAGGCTTTTGGGGTCTGAATGGTAATCTCTATTCAATATTTTTAGTCACAGGTAAATGAGTATTTTTAGTTGCTTGACTAATAGCTTCATTGCTCTTAGTGATATACTTTTCTATGCCTTGCTTTTGGAGTAGAGACAAAGTGGGTAGGAGGTAAAAATAAAATGATTTGAAGGATCCCAAAAGAGGGATAATAAAACTTTTTGTCCCATATTTTAGGGGACAAAATTTACTCAACCTATTAAGTTTGTGTAAATCAGAGAGCTTCCTTCATTTAGGATAATTTCAATGTCACTAAAAATGATTTTTTACTGATATATATTTGTTTATCCTTTATTAAATAAAGAACAGTGACTTTATTCTCTGAAAAGATGAGACTGTTCTCTAGCAAGCAGATGAGACAGGATTTTCTTTTCAAAGGTTGAAAAGTATTTCATTATATATATATATATGTATATATATAACATATTTTCTTTTTTTATTGTTTGAGACTCATTGAGGGTACAAAGTAACACATTTTTGTTATTCATTCATTCATTCATTAACTTAACATGTAGGCTGCTTTCATATCTTAGCTACTGTGCATAATGCTTCAGTGAACATGGCAGTTCAGATATCTGAGATGCTGATTTCATTTCCTTCAGATGTATTCAGAAGTGGACTGGCTGGATCATATGGTAATTCTATTTTTTTGAGAAACCTGCATACTATTTCTCATAAATATATATTAATCTACATTTCCACCAACAGTGTATAAAAGTTCCCTTTTCTCCACATCCTTATCTCAAAATATATTTGTCAAATACAATGAACAGAAGGGATTAGCCTCATGTGTTGCTCTTACTCCTCCACAGAAATGGAAAGAAGATTAAAAAAATGAAAGGATAGGTAAAGATTAGGAATGGGGGAGGAAAAGATTGATTAGAGAACAGGAATCAGGGGTATTACATTGGTGGAATAAAAATTGTACTAGTGAGTTTATTTTGTTCTGGTAATTTGAAATAATATATTTTGGGAATTTATTCAAATTGTCTTCCCCCTCAGCTGAAAACATCCACAGTAGTTAGGAAGGAAAGAAGAAGATAACAATTAAAAGTACAAGTATCATTAGTCTAGTGTATTGGCCTTAATTCTCCCACCTTCCAAACTTTAAATTCAAATGTAGATTTATCTACATGTTAGGGCAATCAATAAAGTATATAGTTTGAATAAATATACAGTATCTTTCATTTTCAAAAGTTTTGTTTTATTTATCTCTTTGGTTTCTATAATTTGCTAAAAGCATCAAACTACAAATTAATTTTTCTCCTGAATTATAACTTGACCATCTTAAATTGAGGGATTCTCCCTACAACTGTTTTAATTTTTAAAATATTTTTATGAACCAATTTAAGATAAACTCTGAAACAATGTATTTAATTATATCAAATATTTCTATTAACCAATTTAAGCTAAACTCTAGAACGTTATATTTTAATAACACAACACGAATATTTAAATTAATCTATGTTAGCCCAGGAAATAAATAACTGGGAATTGATTGCTCAAAAATAAACATGTTTAAGTAAAAGACTGAGTGTTCAATAACAGATTTAACCATCAAAGCACTATAGGGTTGGCACATTGCCATGAAGAAGATCGCAAGTCATAAAAGTTTCTAACTAGTAAAAGTAACTTAATTGTATGAAACTAAGTTGTATTAAAACCAGAGAAGTATTCTTCTGTTGTCATTGGTTAGTGGAAATTAAATTCTTAGCCATTCAAATGAAACTATTTTAGCTTTGAGAAGGATGAAGCTGTTTTTTCCACCTGCCCACTGCATAATGTTTGCCAGACATTTATCTTGTTTAGAATCAATGTTTTCATCTGAAAAATGGTAATGATAGTATTACTTATCTTAAATAACATATGTAAAGACTAAATGATTTGCTATATAGAAAGTACTTAAGGATTATTAGTGCCCTTCTTCACATAGCACTTACAATAATTTGTCCAGATACTGAATCGTACATTAGTCAAATGGCTCTTGAATTTTCCAGGTTAATGATCACATCAGTGGGCCTCTAATTTATTGAGATAAGTATCTTAGAGAGTTTACAGAAATACAGGTAACCTAACCCAAAATTCAGAGACCCTAATTCAATATGCTTACTGTTGAAATTTATCATAGCAAAAATGAACAAATAAAATGGTATCAGTATTCATTAATAAGGATAGAATATGTGAAAAGCTTGCCATATAATAAAGATCATATTTTAGGAGAATATTTATTTGCTGTGTGAAATTATCACAATATGGTACTTAAAGGGAAAGCAGTTTAAAATATGTACTTTCTTATTCTCATTTTGAAGTTTCATGTATGAAAAATGAATCAGTAAGACATATACCAAATCATTAGTAGAGATTTCTCTGGTAGACACTAAAGATTTTTAATGTTAAAATTTTCCTTCTATATTTTCAAAATATTCTAAAGCAAATACATTATTTTAATCAGAAAAAAATAGTAAAGAAATATTTTATCAGCAACCAAAGATGGAAAGAACGAGCAGGGGTGGCTTAAAGAAGCTAATGAAGACTTGAGATTCTTCTATAAATTGTATTCTGCAACACATTCACACATCACTGAGAAAATGCCTGACAGTTGGGCCTGACATAGATATTATTAATAGAGAACTCTTAGGATGTGTTGTGTCCTTTGGTGATTTTCTTTCTAATTAAAAACTTCCAGTGCTATGTATTTTACAGAAATTTCATCTACATGTGAAATATTGGATGCATTTATATCTGTGTTGGGTGGTAGTTATGAGCTGTGATTTACAAGAGTACTGCTTCTCTGGTTTGCTGCTTGATATAGATGATAATGACTTTTATTTGTAACATTTTTTTCACTTGTTTTGCAGACCATTGCTGTTGTAGCATTTGATTATTTATTATAATCTATACTCTCTTTGCCCAATTCCCAAGAAGAAATCAGGCAATATCATGGAAGACAAGAATCAAACAGATCTATCTGAATTCGTAATCTTGGGATTCTCTAACCTAAATGAATTGCAGTTTTTACTGTTCACCATCTTTTTTCTGACCTATATCTGTACTTTGGGAGGAAATATATTCATTATCTTGGTGACCATGGCTGATCCACACCTACATACTCCCATGTATTATTTTCTAGGGAACTTGGCCTTTCTTGACATCTGCTACACCACCACGAATGTTCCCCAAATGATGGTGCATCTTCTGTCAGAGAAGAAAAGCATTTCCTATATGAGATGTGTGGCTCAACTTTTTGCATTTATTTTCTTTGTAGGATCAGAATGTCTCCTCTTGGCAGCAATGGCATATGATCGTTACATTGCGATATGCAAACCCTTAAGGTATTCTGTAATTATGAACAAGACCCTGTGTAGCCAGTTAGCAGCTTCATGCTGGACTGGTGGTTTTCTCAATTCAGTGGTGCACACGGTGTTGACATTCCGTCTGCCCTTCTGTGGCAACAATCAGATTAATTATTTCTTCTATGACATTCCTCCTTTACTGATCTTGTCCTGTGGGGACACTTCTATTAATAAGTTGGCACTGCTCTGCATTGGGGTCTTCATTGGTTGGATGCCTTTTTTGTGTATTGTCCTTTCTTACCTGTACATAATCTCTGCCATCTTGAGGATCCACTCCTCAGAGGGAAGAAAAAAGGCCTTTTCGACATGTGCCTCCCACCTGATCGTTGTTCTTCTCTATTATGGCAGTGCCATCTTCACATATGTACGGCCCATTTCAGCTTACTCATTGGAGAAAGATAGGCTGATCTCAGTATTGTACAGTGTTGTTACTCCCATGCTAAATCCTATAATTTATACATTGAGGAACAAGGACATCAAAGAAGCAATGAAAACTGTAGGGAGCAGGTGGCAGCCACCAATTCTATTATTTGATTTATAGTCTTACTTATCCATGGTCCATAATTTCATACTAGAAAATTAATTTTCCCCCACAGCTGTTTCTAGTGACACTCAATTTAATAAGTGACTGCATTTCATTGTGCTTAATATTTTGAAATCTTAAAAATGCCAATTACAATGTTGGCTCAAAAAAAATGAAGAGTTGGCATACTCAATAAGTGTACACATTCTTAAGCTTTTGATTTCTATGTGAAAGACCTCCCTGCTACTTGTTTTAGGTATTATCCTTTTTTGTTTTTTCCATTTCTGAATCCTCCATTCAAAGATAGTTCTTCTTTGCATGCATTGTTTGATGCACTTCATTGCTTTGTGTTTTTTTCTCCTTCTTCATATTACTTACTATCTGTTAAAGCATGTGAAAGATTTTTATTCATGTTCCTCATATGAATTTACTATATTTTCATGCTTCTGGCTTTTCTTTCTTTATTGGGTTCATTTTATTTATTTATTTTTTTGAGACAGAGTTGTACTTTGTCAACCTCAGTAGAGTGCTGTCATGTCATAGCTCACAGCAACCTCGAACTCTTGGGCTCAAGCAATTCTCTTGTCTCAGCCTCCCAAGTAACTGGGACTACAGGTGCCTGCCATAATACTTGGCTATTTTTAGAAATGGAGCCTCCCTCTGAGTCAGGCTGGTTTTGAACCTGTGAGCTTAGGCAATCCACTTGCCTTGGCTTCCCAGAGTGCTAGGATTATAGGTGTGAGCCACTGTGCTTGGTCTATTTGGTTCTTTTTAATAAAACAGCATCACCAATAGATTGAGTTCACATTATGCAGATTTTGGTAAATGTAGTCATGATGAAGCAATATTTTACCTCTAGATCTGTTGGCTATTAATTTTACTTTACCATCACTTTGGTGCATGAGCCAAAGTCAGTTTATTTCCATGTTAAACAAAGACACTTTCTCAGTTCCAGTTTATGTACCTTCCTTACTCTGCCCCCAAAGTGTAACAACCTAAAGGGATTTTTCTAAAAATAAATCCATATGACAGTTATGTTACAGGGTATCTTAAATTTGGGAAATCTTTTTCTAAAAACTTGAAAAACAGAATTAGATGAAATATACAAAAAAAAAGGTTTTGGGGGAGAATAAACTTTCTTGGTTATAGAGTAATTACATTTAGTAAAGGAGGTAGGAATATATATGTTGAAAATAAAAGTGTGAAATTACTGCTTCCTAAAAACTTTTTAATGTTTTTCTCTTTTTTTCTTTTTTCTTTTCTCTCTTTTTTTTTTTTTTTTTTTTTTTGAGACAGAGTGTTACTCTGCTGCCCCAAGCTAGAGTGTCTTGGCATCAGCAACCTCTCAAACTCCTGGGTTCAAATGATCCTCCTGCCTCTTCAAATAGCTGGGACTATAGGTGACTGCCATAATGCCCAGCTAATTTTTCTATTTTTAAATAGCAATGGGGTCTCACTCTTGTACAAGTTGGCTTCAGACTTCTTGAGCTCAAGATATACTCCCACCTTAGCCTCCCAGAGTACTAGAATTATAGGTGTGAGCCACTGTGCCTGATCTGAACTGTTCTAAAAATTAAAAAAAAATTAAAACTCTATCAACTTATACAGTCGTCATTTAACTATATTTATAATCAATGTATTTAACACAGGGTGACCATAGAGTTCATTAAAGGCCACTAAATTGCACACGAACTTTATGGCCATCGTGTATATACTACTTATTTTATGATCTGATCTCCTGCAGACACTCCAGATAAGACTCGATTTTTCCTGACTATACACCACCTCTATGGCCATTCCCTTAATTTGGAATTCCTATCTCTACAATTCTTAATTTAAAATTCTCTTGATTCTTTATAGTTTCATTCAAAATCATTTTAACCAACATCATTCCACCTAGAAGTGCTTTCTCTTCCTTTTTAACTCATCTGGCACTAACTGAAATGGTGGTGGTAGTGGTGATGGTGAGAATTCTTTGACCAACCTATTTAAACTTACAACTTCTCACTCCCCTGGTAACTTTTGATAACTCTAGTTAGTGTCTTTCCTTTCACAACAGTTATCAAAAGTTATTATTATCTGATTTATATGTTCTATTTATCTTTTAATCTTCAGGTTCAAGAATAATTCCTTATAGTAGGTGCTGAGTAGATACTGTTGAATATGAAGGTTCCAAACTATCGTGACATTGAACATCACATATTATTTGGATGTGAAAGTCTTTGCTTTCTTCTTAGTTTGTATGCTTTCAGTGAACACACATAAGAAGTATACATCTAGGCATTCCCTATAACTCAAAAGTTTGATGTTTTATTCACTGTGGGATATTATTCAAGGATACTATGTCCATGGAATAAATGAATAAGCAGAGAATGAAGGGCAAAATTTAGTCAATTGTAACATTTATTTCAAGTTAAAGTAAACTTTTCTAGTCCCATTTCTCTTTTAGTTGGTCAGAAATTTTCTTTGGTCAACATACTCTTATCAACATTTCTTATCAGTACTTCTCATCAGCTACTACAAAAGTGGAAACATCCAAGGCTCATTCTTTGACAATATGCTCTCTGTTTCATGTGGTCTACCTCTTTCACTTTTTGCTTTTAATATTAACCCTAAGTCAGAAATTTTCACTTTATACATGTATAACTTTTTCTTGTATCTTAAATTTAACCAAGTCTCAGAATGCCATATGATATTTTAATCTGAACTCTTTTAATCCTTTTAAGAAATCAGTACCATTACAATTCTCACAGTCTGTTTATATAAGTTTTCTTTTCTTCCTGAAATGCTCTTCCAATGAATAGTTAGAAGCTCTAATAAATGTAGCATTTAAAAAAAAATTATAGCTTTTGGCTTGCAATGGGTTTACATGTCCAAATAAGAGAAAAACTCTCAAGTTGAGGGGAATAGGAACCAGGGAGTGGGGTGAACAAAGGAGGAGAAGGGATTGGTGTGCTCCTATTGAATGGGCACAATGTAAGGGTATGTAGCACATGTTTTGGGTGTGGGACAAAACTATAAGAGGGACTCTACCTAACAAATGAAAATATTGTAAACTAGTTGTTTGTACCCTCATGTCAATCTGAAATAAAAAATAAAAATAGAACAATAAAATAAAAAAATGAATAAATATTGACAAAAGTAAAATTGATATAATAAAGTCTGGAGAAGTAGATCTTCAAACTAGTATACTTGCATGCCACTAGAGAGGTTCACAGACAATTTGAGCTCTTTCTTGTCAAAACAGAATAGGAAGGACAATAAGAACTACAAGAACTGTGAATAAAAAAAGAAGAAAAAGATCCAATAATCAATGGTATTATACACTTAAGGAAACAGCAACAGTGACCATACCAAGAACAGATGGAGGAACTCACCTCAGTGATAGAAATGAAAGAGAAAATGTGTATTTGGAAGTTAAAACTGATCTGGTTCTTGATTAAGGGTTTGTTTTTCTTTGTAACATAATAAAAAGAAAATAATAGTTTTCTTGTGATCTTTTTTATCTGTAGTATCACTATTATACATTAATTATAATTGATAAATAAAGATTATATGCATTTATTGTGTATACAACATGGTGTGTGTGTACTAAGGTCACCATAAATAAGAAAAATTAACAAACTCATATTATATTTTATACTTTTAATTTTGATATATCATCACATAGAGAAATACTATAAAATTTCATAATGAATATTTTGTAAAGGTACATTTAGGTACAATATCTCATTTTCCCTATATATACTGATCTTTAAGACACCCTGCATATGTATACACTGTGGAATGTTTTAACTGAGCTAACTAACATATATAATACCTCATATAATTTTTGAATAGGTAGTGAGAACACTTAAAAATCTATTCTTGGGGAGGAGATAAGATGGCTGACTGGAGCCAGCTTTCAACAGAGGCTCCCATCCAGAGGGAGAGATAATGGCCAGTATAAACCCAATAAAGCTGAAAGTTAGGAGCTGAGCTGAGAGAGAAGATTGATAAGTACATGTCACCCCTGCTGAGGCAAACTGCGACTCCCAAGGAAGCAAATTTCAGGTACAAAACCCCTTCCAAAGAGAACGAAAGTCTGTTCCCTCATCCCACGATAGTGGCTTGCTGTGTGCTCTCTACAAGCAAGCAGTGGACAACCTCTTGTTTCACTCCATGGGAGAGAGCCAGGGAAGGCTAGGACTCCTTCTCCAAAGAGATCCTGCTGTGAGCCTGGGCATTCTCTTGCCTGTAATACAAGTTTAACTAATATTTTCCCTGCAATTCTGAACTGCCAGTCCACTCTTCCCTCCTTGCCTGACAGTCTGGAAGTCTATCTCCTGCAGAGCCCAGAGTGTCTGGTGGTTCCTTGCTAGGGCTTAGCATACATGGTCTGAGGTGCAGCTGTGCTGAAACTGTGACTCCAGTAGAAGTGGAGTGAGACACAGGGGGAGGGGGACTGGTCCAGTGCCATGAAAATGCCAGCAATGATGGGCAGGGTGCAGGACCTGTGTGGTGGCATTTACCATGCAGCAGCAGCAGAGATAGTGGCATTCCTGCCAGGGTCAAATTTTGGAGAGACATCTTCCCAATTCTGTGGACTGCCAGAGGGAAACAGACCTCACTCTGCAGGGGTTCCAGAGGAGTAGTGTAGCTGAGCCAGATGTGCAGTCTCTGAGGGAGAAAAACAAACTCTGTGATGTTAAGCTCCAGCTTGGAACAGACTCAGGTGAAACATTCCCCAGTTTCCAATGAGCACAAGAGGGAGTCAGGATTCAGCTCTTCCTGCCTACTGATGGCAGAATATGATGGCCTGGCCGAGGAGGCATTGACTCCCTTGTGACTCTGTCAAGTGCAAAACCCTGGCTCATTTGCTCATTGGAGGGAACTAGGCCACAGTCCTGTGGGGTTACCAGTGACTTGGGCATGGCTGAGGTGTTTCCCCCCTGGACTAACTCTTTGGCTGGGTGGGCCTTTTTGGCTCCACTGAGCACTGGAGTGAGTCATACTTGAGCTGCCAGTGGACCCCTGCAGTCA